TTACGAAAATGGCGATCTAATAACTTAGAAATTCTTAGCCAAATTTGTGACTCTCAATATAATGATTTAAATAATATTTTAAGTTTTTCAGAACAGTGTCAAGATTATACATCTTCAAAAACGTTAGGCTTAAATTGGGTCAGCGACACTGACCATCTAACGTATACAATTAACATACAATCTAGTAAAAACATAACAAAACGTCATATATTGTCTGTTATCAGTCAAATTTTCGATCCTCTTGGTCTCGTCGGTCCATGTGTCGTTGAGGCAAAAATCATTATGCAACGCATGTGGATTGAAAAATATGACTGGGATCAAATTGTGTCTGATGATATAAAGTACCTATGGAACCTTTTTGAAAAAACACTTATTTGTCTTAACTCTTTAATTATACCCCGCTGGGTCATTTGTCAAAATTCAATAACTCATGAAATTCATGTTTTTACAGACGCATCAGAAAAAGCATACGGCGCGTGTCTCTACGTTCGTTCTATTGACAATTCAAATACGGTTAGCGTACAGCTGTTAACATCCAGAAACCGCGTAGCTCCCATCAAACCCACAACGATGCCTCGTCTCGAGCTTTGTGGTGCTTTGTTAGGTGCAAGACTGTGTACAAAGGTTTTAAAATCTCTCACTTTACGCATAGATTCGTGTAGATTCTGGTGTGACTCGACCATTGTTTTGAGCTGGTTGGCTACTCCGACTGTCTCATTAAAACCCTTTGTACGTAATAGAGTACACGAAATACAAGAGAGTACCTGTGGTCATACCTGGAACTACGTGCCGTCGAAGGACAACCCAGCAGATCTTGTTTCACGTGGACTTAGAGCCGACATGATCGGCGAAACTCCTTTATGGTGGTCGGGACCTTCATTTTTGTTGCAAAACGAAAATGAGTGGCCCAAAGCGCCTAGAGACGTGAAACAGGATTTGACTGAAGTAGTGACGCTTGTTAGTAGCAGTAGCAACGCTAGTAGTAATAGTGGCAGCTGTCTTACGCTTACTAATCATTCTGTAGTGCAAAGCTTAATAGAGAAATATTCTTCTTTTAATAAATTAGTTAGAGTAGTCGCTTTTTTAAAAAGATATCTATTTAACTTAAAAAATAAAAACAATCAATTGTGTGGCAATCTCTCAACAAAAGAATTACAAAATTCTCATAATTATATTTTACATTGCGCTCAAATTCAAATGTTTTCAGAGGAATATAATATTTTAAAAACAAACAAGAAATTGCCTCGCAAAAGTCGCCTTATATCTTTGACTCCATTCTTAGACCATGATGGCCTCATTCGCGTGGGCGGGAGGCTCGATAATTCTCCGTATGATTTTAATGTAAAACATCCCATATTGCTTTGTAGTCAACATGCTTTAACTAAATCAATATTTCAAATGCAACATAAAAAACTATTACACGCCGGCCCTCAGTTACTTTTGTCAACTATTCGTCAAAAATATTGGCCTCTTAAAGGCAGAAACTTATCTAAAGTTATCGTCAACAAATGTATAACTTGTTTCAGACATAGAGCTCAAAACGTGCAGCCTATCATGGGACAGTTACCTAGTTCAAGGACGTATCTTGAATTTCCATTTCAGCATTGTTACGTTGATTATGCTGGGCCAATTCTTATAGCTGATCGAAAGGGACGGGGTTGTAAACTTACAAAATCTTATTTGTGCATCTTTGTTTGTTCCGCAGTGAAAGCTGTACATTTAGAGCTCGTTACGGACCTCACCACAGAGTCTTACTTGGCCGCCTTAAACCGCTTCGTGGCACGTCGAGGCAAACCTCGAAGTATCACGTCCGATAATGGCACAAACTTTGTTGGCGCGTCTAATGAATTAAAGAGGTTCCTTCACTCTTCTAGTGTTGCATCTGAGATAGCGCAAGAGGGCATCGAATTTAATTTTGTACCTGCTTATTCTCCCCATTTTAATTCACTGGCTGAAGCTGCTGTGAAATCTTGCAAGCACCACTTAAAAAGACTTTTATACCTTACTCATCTAACTTATGAGGAAATGTCTACTTGCTTGTTTCAAATAGAGGCTGTCTTAAACTCACGTCCTCTTATTCCTCTCTCTTCAGACCCTCATGATTTTTCGGCTCTCACTCCCTCACACTTCCTAATTGGACGACCACTTTTATCTGTACCACACCCACAGGTGACCACCACCAACATATCCCGCTTGGATCGATGGAAGAGAACGCAGTACATCGCGCAGCACTTCTGGAGACGTTTTGCTAATGAATACATTTCTCTGCTGCAGAACAAGACGAAATGGTTCTCATCCACAGGCGAGGTGAAAACTGGGTCACTCGTCCTCATTAAAGACCGGACTACGCCACCTCTTATGTGGAGGTTAGGGCGAGTAATGCAGATCTATCCTGGTGTGGACGGCATCACGCGAGTAGCAGAACTGAAGACGAAGAGTGGGACCATACGACGGGCTTTCAATTGCATTTGCCCTCTACCACTCAATTGAAGTTCGCTCTGCACTTCAACCCGGGGAGCATGTTGGCGCGCCGGATGCGCGCTCGTCTTCCCACTCCACCGGACACGACGGCGACGCCGGCGCTGGCCGACGCCTTACGAACGACATTCGACGTCACCGCAGCCCCACTTGGCTCCTTGACTTCTTGGCTGTGAGACGACCACACGAACGAATAACGTCGCGATTTACTTAATTACAACAGCACCTATAATCTACAGTCCGTCTTTTATTAAGTCTAATGACCCTTCCAACACGGATTTCACCAGACATCGATCAGACGTTCCCAGCGGGGCTAAAACTGATAACGAGTGCCTATCTGGATCTGTTTTCAGTAGAAGGTCCAAGCAATTGGGTGTTTGTCCGTCGACGTAAGATACCCGTGTAGCCTGATTCACGAGCTGGGTGAGATCTAGTGAAATCGCAAATTTGCGAGCCTCACGTCCAGCATGGTCGGTTATCTGGTATGGAAACAGCCACTCACGATGGTGAGCATTGAAGTCCCCCAGGAAAACAAGCTGCGCTGTTGGGTACTTCGTCTGGGCTAAATCTGCGGCCTCAGTCAGGTGGTTCATGAGTCTAGTCGTCTCTTGATCGCCATCATAGGATCGGTAGATACAGGCGTAGACTGTTTTGTCTAATCCACTGTCCACCAGCAGCCAAAGCACGGAAAACCTAGAATTTTCAAAGCAGCGGAGTCGCATACACGCAGACCCCAGTCCTTTTCCTGAATTTATGTTCAAGAGAGTAGCCCGGATATTTGAGGTATGCCAAGAGAGAAGGTGCGGCTTCTCAGTCTCAAGGTGGTGGTGGACCTGGTCGAGATTGGAGTGCAATATTAGTGAGGTGCACTTTCAATTGGAGGAAGTGCAGCCGTTGTAAAACCTTTTTTTTTTTACCTTCATATTTCGGCAGAGTGAGATGGTGAGCAGAGAAAGGTCCAGGCTCCATTCAGTCATTTAGAATGACCAAGAGCTTTACCAACCTATAGAGAATTCATCTGGAGATCTCAGGGACGTCCGAACCCCCCGAAATGGCCATCGGGTCTTCCCATCCAGTCGTCAACTGGCACGGTGAAGCATTTCGGGATTTTTCGCGAGTTGTGGGACAGCCTTTGACGCTTGGCTGGTGCGCTACTTGGGCTCCCTACTACCTGCAGTCGGTCAACGGTTGAGACCGTGTTTGTGGCACTTACCACCGCTTCAAAATGGATTGAACGCCATTTATCGGTAGACCGATTGCGCTGCAGGTGAAAGCCTACAGCAGGCGATGGGGTCGTCACTATGTAACAGTCCCCAAATCATTGCCAACGGGTAAGGTGCCCAGTAGGTTATTTTTTAATTTAATTACAATTACGCCTTTTTTGTAACCCCATACTATGACATAAAGTCATAAAATAACGGTTACATCCTTTATGAATAATGTCAACTAAATATTTCTTTATTAACTTTATTTTGATCCTAATATTTAATCAACTGCTGATAATGTTACAGAAACATTTGTATGGACACGTAAAGCAATATAAGTTGTTTGATTGCATAATTTGTGACAGATGTTGAGTGAATCCAAGGCGAAAGAGGGAGGTGATTGGATATTATCGATATTCGATAGATATTAATTTATCATGAATACTATCGATTCCCGTTATTAATAGCAATTTTAGTATTGGACTATAATACTCTGCAAAATTTTATATGTATATTGTAGTAACCTGACGCGGCTGCCCGTCAGGTTACTACAATATATAAAATTTTATATATAATATACAGCAAGTGCTGTTCAATTTTAACAGAGCCCAAAAAAGAACGAGTTTTGTAATTTGCCTTAATGTTTTTGTGTGTTTCTTTTTCATATATTCAATAAAGATATCTTTGTGTATGAATGCATTTTGATTCTTCTTTTTTTTTTGTTTGAGAGAGTATAAATCTCAAGAAGGTCCTATTCAATCGAACAACATTATAGTTTTGTTTTATATTTAAATAACTAATAAAACTTACCTTGTCTTAACTATGTTAATAATGTTTTCCTTAAATACTAAAATAAAAATTGATTACAGAAATATTAATGAAACATAGCTAGCAAACCGGACGAGAATTAATGGATTCATAATAATTCGTGGAAAATATGTCAAAACATGAGTTTTCGAGGGAGTAATCGAGAATATTTTATTGCAAGACTATAAAGATGTAAATTAAATACTACTGATTATTCCACATCAATAATTAATAAAGTTATAAAAAGAAGAAAGACAAAGCCTTTTTTTTCTAGTAAACAAAACTTCAAAACTTTTCTATAGTATTGTTTCTTATCGATATGATTACGTAGGCAAATACTCACCACTATTTTAGGCACAGCTATAAAAGTTAGGGTAATTAAATAAAAATAACAAAAGTAGGCCAAGAAGTTATATCACACAGTTCATAAATATAATTTTAGTAAGGCATTATTTTACTTATTTTTTTAAATTAATTTAATGAAAAATATAATATAGTTTCAAAATCACAATGGACGCAGCTGCAGCTAGTTTAGCAACATGGAAGACAGGGCAGGCAGTGTTTAGTTTGTTGGCTACGTTACATCTGACGTCTTATAAATATCCACCGACGTGTAATCCAAAAGGTAAATTATAAACATTTAATATATTAATTTCCGTACTTCGTTATGAGTTAATATTAGACTATAACGACGATTTTGTCTTGTAGTTTAACGTAGGTTTTCTTTTACGCCAAATAAAAACTTTTTTTCTAAAATCATGCATGGCCATTTAAAGTAGCAGCTGAATGTATGTAAGTGAAAGTATAATTAAGTCAATAATTTTCTTATAATCACAGATGGTGAATACTTCGATTATATAGTGGTTGGATGTGGAACTGCAGGAAGTATTATAGCAAATAGACTCACAGAAAATGAAAACGTCAATGTATTAGTCATAGAATCCGGTACTGACCCAACAATAGAAACGGAGGTAAGAAATAAATATTCTTAATGAAAAATGCTTAAAAATCAATTTGTCCCTGGCACTCTGGGATCGGACGTGAAATTTATGACCTTATGCAATTCGGGCGACTGTGCTAACCACTGAGCTTCTTAGGACCTGACAAATTTTTCAAGCACTTGTTACTTTTCGCTACTATAGAGCGTATTTTCATTAATGGTCAGGCAATCCACCCAAACAACCGGAAGAAATATTTTTTACAAATATTTAAACTTTCGATAAAGATGCAAATTTGTTCTAATTATTTTATTTGGTCAATTTTGAATTCACAATGCTATACTGAAAAATATTCTTAAAAATACACTTTGACCAAAATTGATCAAATATAATATAATAAATAAAAAAGTTTTTAATTAGAGCCTTGATAAAAATTTTAAAACTATGATGATTAAAAACACTGTGATTTTAAAAGTATTGTTCTATTTCAGTATCCAGGGTTATTCCCTTTCACCGCGGAGACAAGTTACGATTACAACTTTCCAACTGTGAACGACAATTATACTGGCCAGCTGCTTAGAGACAACTCAGTAAGAATAACCGCAGGGAAAATGTTAGGTGGGAGTAGCGGTCTGTCACATTTCTTAGACGTCAGGGGGAACCCATTCGATTTTAGCCGTTGGGCTACTGCCGCAGGCGAAGACTCGTGGAACTATGAAGGATTGCTGCCATATTTCATCAAAAGCGAAAAGGTCACGAATGAAACCATTCTTGATTCTCCTACAGGAAAATTTCATGGTACTAATGGAAATGTGGAAGTTAACATCGTTCACAGTAACAATAATGTAGACATTATTAACGCTTTTAAAGAACTCGGTCACAAATACAATGAAGATATAAACAGTAACGAAACATTAGGTATTACTGAGCCGTTTTATTTTCTTGCAAACGGTAAACGTTCAGATATGGCAAGCGAATATATAACTCCAATCAAGCAAAGAAAAAATCTGCACATTTGGAAGGAAGCTACAGTCACTAAAATAAATTTTGATTTATTTAAAAACGCTGTCAGTGTAGAAGTAATGGATTCTAAAAACAAAATTAAGACAATAAACGCCAATAAAGAAATATTACTAGCTGCTGGAATTATAAAAACTCCACAATTATTAATGTTATCAGGCATAGGACCAAGAGACCAGTTACAGAAATATGGTATTCCAGTCTTATCCGATTTGCCGGTGGGAAAGAATCTTCAAGACCACGTTGTAGCACTAGCACTGCATAAGTTAGATCCGTCAATCGCTATTGAAACTCCGCCACCTCCAACAGAGTTTCCGACACCGTATTTGCTCGTCAATGCCAATTTAGATCCCAAGAAATCCATACCCGACTACCAAGTCATTAATATTTTTTTACCCCATGATACAGGGGCATTGAATTTACTCTGTGGGGTTGTTTTAAAATATGAAAATGAACTTTGCAATCAATTGTACAAGGCGAATATTGGAAGGAATGCTTTATTATCTGTAATTTATAAGCATCGTCCTTTATCATCCGGGGAAGTAACTTTGAACAGTAAAGACCCTCTTGCTACACCCACAATAAAAATGAATTATTACTCAGACAAGAAAGATCTTGAAGATATGGTAGAATATGTACATAAATTCAGAGAAATTGTTAACACGACGGTTTTACTAAAGAAAGGCGCTGAATTTTTGGATTTAGATCTGAAATCGTGTAAAGGTATCGATAAAGATACTGATGAATATTGGAAATGCTATATTTTAAGTACGTCAGCCAGCATATATCATTTTATAGGCACTTGTGCATTGGGCACAGTCTTAGATTCGAAACTTTCCGTTAAAGGTGTTAACAGACTTCGAGTTGTAGACGCTAGCGCTATTCCTGATATACCAAGTGGAGATAATATGGCTGCTCTGACAGCTTTCGTCGAAAGAGCTGCAGATATAATTAAATCGTATGTATAACATCGGCTTTTTATTTTTAAACTTAATAATAAAATAATGTACATAGACAATTTGAACATAGGCAAAAAATAAACATGGAATTTCAAGCTGCAAGTAGCAAAAACAAGAGTATACACACACTACTGCTAAATAGGTATATTTATAAAAAGCAAAATATAATTGACCTAGCGGATATTTAAACTTAATTAGCATTTAATGAATTTTTAAAGTTGATGTCAACTGAGAACTGAAATACATGGAATTAATATGTGCTCAGTTATATACAATTTTAATATTCAACTTAAGCTATTGATTCATTGATGAAATTGTTTGTGTAAACTTCGTTACAAAAAAAACTTTTAAAAGTGATACTAACACTATGTATTATTTGCCACAATGTAAATGAAAGAATAGATTTATATGGAGTTCCATAAGGAGTTCATTTACATTGTGGCAAATAATACATAGTGTTATTATCATTTTTAAAAGTTTTTGGTAAGGCTTTTGATAATATGTAAAAAAAAGGACAATCCCATTTTAGTATTTTAAAATATGCCTCTTCGTTCTGAATTTGTTTGAAATATTATGAGGTTAAAAGAAAAATAGTGGAAACTAAATCTTCATTTTTTATCAAAAGAACACACAAAAGATTAAATAAATAAATAGTACCTACCATATATATCTTCTATGCGAATGTGGACTGCTGATCTACAAATGAATCATTTGTAGATAAAAATCAACAGATTTCGTCTGGTCGGAGTTTATCTTTGCTCTATACATAGAGATAATGAGCTAACAGTCAGCATGTAAGCTTGAACTAAAAAAATTGGTCACCATCCATTGGACGTCGTTTGAGAAGGTTTCTTAACTTTCTCTATCACCGTGCTACCTGGTGCCTCTGTAAAGGTTACATTATTGTATACAATCATATTAAGGGTATAAGGGTGGGAGGGTTTATTGAAGTACTCGTATAATGTACCGTCGTCGTTGTAATTTACATATAATTTTCTTGATACTAAAGGGTCGCGAGGTCAAGGCCGGCACCTTCACAAAACTGTCTGCCGAATATTCCGGATGGGTCTCGAAAAACCTTTATTTATTTAATGAATTCCATCTAACTATATGATAGAAGCTTATGTGGGGTCGAAGGTGTGTCCTCGCCTAAACTATTACAAAAATTAATTTTGTTAAGACAAGAACTATTACAATGGACAGTTATTTTTTTCTTTTTTTTTGTGACGGTAGCGAAAACGCCAGACTACGTTAACAAAGGAGTAGAGTTTTTGAAGTAAAGCTCATAGAATTAGAAGCTAGGCTCTATAGGAGATTTCATAATTATTTGCAATGTGCGAACGGCCTGCTTCCCTTTTTTTTTGAGTTTTGAGTTGCCTAGTGACTAGATTCAAATAGAGTAGCTCAGTGGCTTAGTGCCCGCGATTGTTGTTGTTAAACACCTTTTGGAAGTTAGAGGGTTGGGTGACCAAAATTTATTATCTCTAGCTACTCCTTATGCCGGAATGCACATTAAACCTTCCAATCCACATTGAGCCAGCGTGGAGGGTTATGGACCATCTTCCTTACCATCGTTAAGGAAACGCCGCAACTCCTGCAGTTGGGACGTAAAAGGGCTGATGATGAGACTCAAATAGGATAAGAATAATGCCCCACTCACAAGTTAAATAGATGACTACCTTTTTTAAAGTTAAATTTTACTGACATTCCGCCAGTCGAGCAGAACAAGTTTTGCTTCACACGTGCTATGCAAATGGCTTGGTCTGTCATTTTGCGTAGATAAATTTTCTGTTAAATTTCAATTGCAGTTTTTAATAGACGTCATTTGACTAAATGGTAAAAACAATAACGAAATATAAAAATTAAGAATCCATGGGTACACTTTATAATTTATTTAAAGATAATTTGATATATGAGTATTAACTTTTTTATAGGATAAAATCAGTAGCGTATCTATAGCGTTCGAGGTCCGTGGCAAATTCATCGGATATTCTATTTTTTTTTACTAATTGTGTAATAATAAATGGCAGGTGTAAGGAGTCTCCTCTGATCGGGGGCCTCTTCCAGCTGGGGGCAGTGGTATTTTGCCGACTTGCCATTCTATAGTTACGCCACTGGATATATACAAATAGATCAATTTTATTTGAACGTTATCTATTAGTATAAAACCAGTCGAAACTAAGTGATTTTAGATGTACACGCTCTTTTAAGCTAAGTAAATTTCCGGAGCATTGATAGAAAACCGGAAGTCAAATAGGCAACACTAAGAAACACCGGAAGGGAATGCCAAAGCATTTCTAAATACTAATAAGTGTTATTGAAGTAAGACCAGAAATTCAGAATTAATTTACATCACAAAGACAAAGAGTAACAATGTCTAGGATGAATCTTCCAAATCTCTATATTGGATTTTAAGGCAGCGATTCCGACAGCGAAGAGCAATAAAGATTCCGTAACCAAACATTAGCCCCTAATACTAATATTAACCCTTAAAACTAAAACTGACACCTCCGTAGCCGAGTTCCCACGCCGGTTTCAAGGTGTCGCCATCAGAGGTCCCTGGTTCGATTCCTGGTCGGGTCGATGTAGAAAATAAACTTTTCTATATTGTCCCGGGTCTGGGCGTTGTGGTACCTTCGTTGCCTCAGATACTCCACAATACGGGGGCTTTAGCTACTCATCTTGGAATCTGAGGAATTTATGTGATGTTGGTTAATATTTTACAAAATAAAAAAAAATACTAAGACTGTGCTGCCGTACATCTGTCTGTTCGTTCGTTGCCGTTATAACAAAAAATACTAAACAAATAATAAAATAACATTTCACTCGCACATGGCTGTTTTTTTTCATTACTTCTAGTAATTATACTGTCTTATTTTAGGGAAACTTTTTCTAGTTACTCTGTAGCCGAGAGCTTTATGGAAAACTTTTACAATAATAATAATTGGCTTGAGAGTAATTAATTGAAAATAGAAACAGTCCTTTGTCTTCATACCCAGCCTTGGCTTAAAATCGATCGGAGATAAGCAAAATCTTATATTTTACAATGTTTATTTAAAGTTTAAAGTAAGATTCTGATTCCTACTACGCGAATGTAAAACGCGTCCTACTAAATATAATAAATAAATAAATAAACGTATTATCTTGCATCATAATGTAAAAAAATTGTACACTGCTATTGGTAAAATATGTGAAAAGAATGTGCCTTTTTTTAAGTCGAGAAAATGCATTAGGCACTAGCCCTCTTCTACGTGAACCTATCCCGTGGTTAGCCGCGCGGTGGGCTCCCGAAATCCTACCCACAAAAACCCCTATGGTGTACCCTCCGCTGGAGATGAGACCCAAGAAGCCGTGACCGAGTCACCAGGACGGTGGTCCCCCTTACGGGACCTTTAGTCCCCCTCACGGAAAGAGATCGAGGATGGTTACATCGAGAGCCTCTCCCAGACAGGCGAGGTCGTGCAATGCAGGAAACGAATGTACCTAATAATATCATTTGTACCTTATTCTGGCAAATAAAGTATGATTATTAATTATTGCGCTGTCGATTATGCAACATACTCCAAGGTATATAACGGCAGTGGCTAATAACCACTTACGATTTTATATATCCAACATTTTGAATGTTAATTTGAACGGATCCCCTATAACGGATGCCGTTTTACTGAATATTCTTTCATTTCAAATGTAAGATGGCTGACCCTCAGAGTCATATTGTTTCACATAAAGAACTCACAGAAGAATCTAAACTACGCTTTAGGATTGTACTGATGGCAAAAAAATATATTATATACATATTTTAATCAGTTTTATTTGATTATTTGTGAGGGAATCGTATTTTTTACCTGACTACGGGTAACGTAAAGTTGGTTATGTTCTTAATCTTTTAGTGTTTGAGCGCCCTTGGTTTTTATATTTATTTATTGATAGGTCGTAGAGTTATGTATGAGAAAATTATAAGAAATAAATAAGAGATAGTGCACTCTAATTCACGCAACTGTAAGGTCTCTATCAGAAAAACAGCGCCTTCGTATTATTTCGACCATCTATGAATGAAACAGGGGCCTAGGCTGATATAAATCCATATTGACCTCACATGTTTTTTAAAATTTCCTTGTGCACATGTCTATATTAAGTAATGCGAGGTAAATAAAATTCTTTCTTTTTTTCTGACATTTTTCATTCACTACGAAGTTTATGCTCCGTTTGGCAAAACTTGTAGATCCGGGCCTTTTAAAAAGTAATTATCATCACGGAGGTAACTATCACGGAGTAACTTAAAGTTTTTACAAAAAACTTTACGATTATCGATAAAAAGAGGATATAAAATATTATGAATGAAGCTTAGGCAGCGCATATACAGCCCACGCTTTCACAACTTTTAACCTACAATATATTTACTACTTAAATATACTAACAGAGTATATTATTGCTAAGAGAAAAAAGTGTTAAATAAATTGCACTAACTGCATGTCAGACTACCACAACTTATAAAATTTCCTCAATTGATTTTGAAATCTACTGACAATGCATTAAGGTTTAAAATCAAGTGGAGGAATTTGGCAGTTTTGTAGATTTGCTTATAACCTTACTTTTTGAACTGACCTTTTACGTACCTAATGTTTTACTACTGAATATACTAAATGTTATTTTTCTATCGCTCTCTAGTATATCAGTAAATATGAGCCCGCTGAAATATCGAGGAATCGCAATGTGTTATTGGATCCAACTGGTGAATACATATTTCATTGATAGAAAAGAGGGCCGCGTACTATATTTACGGACGAGTGAGGCTGCTGCTATATCATGAGCGGAGCGGTATCGCAACCTATGAGGTAAAACGTAAGAAGAGACTTGCATGGGTACCTAGGGAACACGTCCAGGCAACTCCCTTCAGATCGGATAAGAAGGAGAGTGGTAACGCATCCGTCTTCTGTGTCGGGGTTAGCAAAGGTGGTTGGTAGTCTCTGCATTCACAGCCTCACCGGAAGAGTGGTGACTGTCTTGGT